CCCCAAAACCCCAAAACCCCACCATAACAATTCAATTTGAATTTATTTTATTTGAAATTCTCACTTTCAATTATTATCAGCTTGAATATGATAAATATTAATTTTAATTGGATGAGTTGTCTAGAGACCTCTATTTATCTAACGATTAAAACCTATTTATTAAATAATTAAGAAAGATACTTTTATTCGAAAGAATGGAACGTACCTAAGGTATAAGTTACTTCGATCTAGATCGATTGTACACAGAATGTGTTGAAAGGTAACCTCAATTTCATCTCCCTCCCATCCTTATTTATACTTAATTGATTCCTAACTATTAAATATAGAAATTTCAGAGGTGATAGTAATACTATTGGATCTGTAATTAGTCAAGCCACGTATGCTCTTTGCTGGAATGCATTTTAAAAGTAATAACGCTTCCTTTGATTTAACTCATTCTGAATAGGTGGTGCTAGAGTCAGATAGAATTGAATAGAGCCATTAATGTGCCATCTTTTGGTAAGTCAACTATTTCTTATTATATACTTTTCCTAGGTACTATTGGATTCTTGGCAATCAGAGAAAATATGAAGGTCATCTACATCAAGCTGTCCAACCATTTCCTATCTAACCACGGCCTGCAGTACAAGCAGGGCTAACAAGAATTGGAAAGCTAGCAAAACATCGTAATGGACCCTACAGTCAAGCCAAACTTCCCAGCAATGGGCAAGAGTGCTGGTCTGGACAAGCAAGTCCTCCAAGGCAGTCTCAACAATCTCTTCTAATTAATAGGAGATCTTATGACTGAAGGACAAAACGTAGAAGTAGACCTCCAAGAATTTGGAAAGTTTTCCTCTATTAACCGCCAAGTCATCTACGCTTCCTTGAACAAGCAGAAGCCATCGGCCTTCCAAGGCAAGCAAACAGTGAAGTCACTTATGGATCTTGGCAACCCCACAGATAAGTACAAGTCAGCTCAAAAGCAACTAGCTAGTTTTGGAGAGGCTGCCAACCAAAACATGATGATGGGCTCAAAGCTGCACGGAAGCATCGGCTCTTAGGGCTAAGGGTACCTCCAAGGCTCAGTATTCAAATCAACCAACAATGGCGGCAACTTAAACGACTCACCCACCAGAAGATTCAAAAAGCCTTTTGGAGAGGGAAAGATTTCTAGCGACCTCTTGGGAGCAGGAGATGATCCTATGGCTAAGAATCAAGAATTCTCACTCCTAGCTAACAACCCAGCTCAACTCATGGCACTCAGCTTCAAAAAGCCAACCAAGGCCTTGAGTAGATACCCACCTGTGATTGACCCCTTCAGCAGAACTTTGGCGGCACCTATATCCTCTCAAAGACATTACTTCTCAGTTTGCCACAGAATTGGAACTAACTTCACTCCCTCTGGTAAAGGTTTCTTTATTGACACTGACACCAGAACTATCAAGTACAAGGACATTAATGATACTGGCACCAAGCTAGACATCGTTGGTCTTGATGATGTCGAACCAGCTGATGAGAGAGAAGAATATGACTCTATTATGAACCCTAAAGGCCAAGACAGAAGAAGAATTCAAGCTAGAAAGGTTTCCTACCAAAGATACAGACAATATGTCGAAAATGAAATCTCAGTAGATGTGATAGCTCCAATCCGCTAATACTGGCTGAGTCACATCATTGAGTTGATCCCAGGAGACTTGCATGCAGTAGAAAAAGACAGAATTGAGTACCTAATTGACACCATGCTTAATGAAATCAACAAAGATTACTTCGATTCAGTCAGAAAGAGTATCCTTGACTACATCCTCAAGGACGACAACGAAATGAGAAGGCTCGGCATCCAGCAAGTGCTTAACCAGCCAATTGATTGGGGTGATGATTTCTACAAGGGTATTGAGCCAAATGAAGAGTGGAAGCACAATGTTATGATGGCAAGAATGCTAATGTCAGAGAATCTATGTATTTGCTCTCAAGCCACCTTAGAATTGATGAAGCTCTGGCAAGAATATGAGAACTATCTCTTCGTGAAGCTGCCATAGCCCAGAGAAGAACCAGTATTCCTTGTCTAGTTCCTTGAATAACAAGACAACCAAATGAATAAGGTCAAGGGACTCTTGAGCTCAGACTGGAACAAGAGTTCAGTCGATATCCTCAGAGAAGAACTTGAAAACCTAGACAAGGATTAGACCAAGACCTTCTTCGAGTCAGTTGCCACACTAATGGCTAATCAAGTCAGAGAACTCATTTCCAAGTCAGTCAAATCCTACGTTGAGTTCTTCAGAAGATTCAAGAAAAGAGAATACCCTACTCCTCAGGAGATCATTAAGAGAGAGTATGACCCAGACACTGCTTTTGAGGACAATTTCCTCATTCTTAAACTCACCATTGATGGTCAAAGAATCACATTCTCAGACCAACTAAACGTAGTCAAGAGAGACCTCGAGAAGATTGTGGAACTTATTGTGCAGCAAAGTCAAAACTTGCCAAGACCTGAGAACACAATAGCTAGAAGCGACAAGATGCATCTCTGGGACGTCCCCATTGAAGACGATCTAGTTAGAAATGCTCAGAATGAAATTCATGAGATCCTTGAAAACAACATTGACGTTGTTGAAGAAGCTCTCAGAGTTTATGATGACTACCTCTTTATTCTCAAGGAGAAAGCAAGAATCGAGCACTTCTTGAATGAAGGTCCTTACAAAAGAGAGACTTTCATTGCTGAAATTCAGAAATATGAAAAGACAATCAAGATGATTAGAGAGACAATGCCATTTGAAATTAGAATGAACATGTTCCTCATTGACTGTGCTGACTTAAACAACAAGCTTTGCCTTGAGTGTGAGGAGCTGATTGATAAGATCTTACAAAGAATCGCTGACTACGTTTTCACTGAGAGTTCCGCTCAAATCATTCAAAGTGTCAAGGGCATTAATGAAAGCTTTGCCAACAAGGCAGACAGTTCAAAGAAACTTGTGGCTATGGAAAAGGAATTAGAAGAAATTAAGATCATCAAAAAGCAGCAATTGATCAATGAATATAATGACTTGATTGAATGGCTCATGCTGCTCTACAATAATCCCAGATACAGAGTAGTTGAAGATCAAACCAGATCTGTAAACTCAGCTTATGTGCAAACTTGCAAAATAACTCAAATGGTTGAGATGCAAGAGAACAAACTTAAGAATGAAAGAGTTGAAATTGAGAATGCTCTCGTGAGGCAAAAGAGAGAATTCAGCGAGATGCTTGAGGAGATCAAACTCGATGTTGACAAGTTCAAGGAATACGAAAACAAAAAGAAGGAGGACGAGTTCAACAAGACCATTGCAAACATCAACTCAAAACTTGCTTAGCTAACTGAAGAAATGTAAAGAATCAATGAGCAAGAAGCTGATCTTGACTTCCCCATCTCTGAATATCCACTCATCGATGAATGCAAGCAAGCGATCAAGCCATATGAAGACCTTTGGAAATTGGTTAAGGAATACTTCTCAAAGAACTCACTTTGGGTTGAAGGAGAACTTTTAAAGCTTGACCCAGAAGAGGTAGAAAAGGATCACAAGCAAATGCTCTCTATGTCTAGTAAACTCGCCACTAGATTCAGCATGATGAGACTAACCAAGCCAGAGAAGATTGCTAATGATATTAAGACTGAGTTGTCTAAGTTCAGGGACTATCTCCCAGTTATCAGATCTCTCTGTAACCCAGGTCTAAAGCAAAGACATATGGAGGAGATCAGGAAACTTATTGACAAGCCAATTGAAAAGAATGAAAAGTTGAGAACTTTGATTCAGTTGAAAATTGAATCATTCAAAGACAAGCTCGAAGATATTAGTGATACTGCTTCTAAAGAGTACTCGAATGAGAAAACACTCACAAAAATGAATGAAGATTGGACACCTATGGAATTCACTTGCAAGGACTGGAAGGGATCTTTCATTCTCGATGGTGAGGCTATTGAACTCATTCAAGCCTTACTTGATGATCACATTATCAAGACTCAAACTATGAAGGGTTCACCATTCGCTAAAGTCTTCTTGAAAGATATCACTCAATGGGAAACTAACCTACTCAAAACATAAGAAAATATGGAAGTATGGCTAAAGGTTCAATCGGTGTGGCTTTATCTAGAGCCAGTATTCTCATCAGAGGATATCATGAAGCAAATGCCAGTTGAAGGTACTAAATTTAGAGAAGTAGATAGAGCATGGAGAACACTAATGACAAGAATTTCAGACAATCCAAAAGCACTCGATGTCATATAAATTGAAGAACTTGGAGATATTTTAAGAGAATGTCACGCTAAGCTTGAACAAGTTCAAAAGGGTCTTAATGACTATTTAGAAAGTAAGAGATAACTCTTCCCTAGATTCTATTTCCTATCAAATGATGAGCTATTGGAAATCTTGTCTGAGACTAAGGAACCATTAAAGGTACAGCCACATCTTAAGAAGTGCTTTGAAGGTATAGCTGCTTTGGAATTCGATGAGGAAAAGAAAATTCATGCAATGTATTCCTCTGAAGGCGAGCAAGTTCCTTTCACCAGAATTATTGATCCTATTGCTAGTAAAGGTTAAGTAGAAGATTGGCTTAGACAAGTAGAGGAGGTTATGCTTAAATCAGTTAAAGAAATTGTAGAAAAAGCATTATAAGATTACTCCAAGAAAGATAGAGAAAAGTGGGTCATTAGTTGGTAAGGTTAGGCTGTGCTTGCAGTCGATATGATGTTCTGGACAAGTCAAGCTGAAGAAGCTATGAAGAAAAGTGGTGTTGCAGGTCTTCAACAATATTACTAAAAGCTTGATTTATAGGTAAGTAATTAACCAATATAAGAGTTTGGGATATAAAACGTATGAGCAATGATTGTAAACGAATGGATATCAGAGAGAACTATCTCTATGAAGATTCTAGCCAGGAATGAGCTCTATTATAATCGCATGATGATATCCGATCTTCTATTAGACTTATAATAAAACAATATTCTATGCTTTAAGTCTCTTTTAGAGATTTTTTGTCTTAGAGTATTTTATTAGTCTATGAGATATAGTTTTCAATCTGAGACTTTAAATCATCCCAACATCTATCAAATATATTATCATTTAAGAGAACATTCAAATGCTAAACTTGATTTTTATAGTTGAAAAATATTGTTGCTTTGGTCAGAACTAACATCAACAGACTTGAGAGATGCACTCTAGAAGCCATGATTGTGCTCGATGTGCATGCTAAGGACGTTATCATGAATGATTTGGTTAAAAATAATGTATCAGATGCTTCAGAGTTCAACTGGTTGGCCTAACTTAGATACTACTGGGAAGATAACAATGTCAATGTCAAGATCATTAATGCAGAGCTATCTTACAACTACGAATATTTGGGTAACTCTAGTAGATTGGTTATTACCCCTTTGACTGACAGATGCTACAGAACTCTTTGCGGTGCTCTTTATCTCAACTATGGAGGTGCTCCAGAAGGCCCAGCTGGAACTGGTAAAACTGAAACTGTCAAAGATCTTTCTAAGGCTCTTGCTAGACAATGTATTGTGTTCAACTGCTCAGACGGTCTAGATTATCTTCAAATGGCTAAGTTCTTCAAGGGTCTTGCCTCATGTGGTGCTTGGTCATGCTTCGATGAGTTCAACAGAATTGAGCTTGAAGTGCTATCAGTTATTGCCCAACAACTCCATACAATTTAACAAGCAATTGATAAGAAAATGGAGAAATTCGACTTCGAGGGTTCAGTCATTCCAATCAAATTCACTTGCAACTGCTTCATTACCATGAACCCAGGTTATGCCGGTAGATCTGAACTTCCAGATAACCTCAAGGCTCTTTTCAGATCTGTGGCTATGATGGTCCCCGATTACGCTATGATTGCTGAGATTTCCCTTTATTCCTTTGGTTTCACAGATGCTAAGAATCTATCAAACAAGATTGTTACCACATACAAGCTCTGCTCTGAGCAACTTTCCTCTCAAGACCATTATGATTACGGTATGAGAGCAGTCAAGAGTGTGCTGACTGCTGCTGGTAACCTGAAGAGGAAATTCGTAGATGTGAACGAAAGCATCGTCATGTTGAGAGCCATTAACGATGTCAATCTTGCCAAGTTCCTCTCACATGATTTGCCACTGTTCAGAAATATCACTAGTGATTTGTTCCCAGGCATCGTTTTACCCGAGCCAGATTATACAGATATGATTGCATGCATGAAAAATCAAATGAAGATCATGAATCTCTAAGATGAGCCTTACTTTATTGACAAGATCATTCAGCTTTACGAGATGATTGTCGTCAGACATGGTCTCATGGTGGTTGGAAATCCATTTGCTGGCAAAACTAGTGCCCTCAAGGTTTTAGGAGGTGCTCTTACTGAACTTAACGAGAAAGGATTGATGGGAGAAATGAAGACACATATCTGCGTTATTAACCCTAAATCTATTACAATGGGACAATTGTATGGTAATTTCGATGAGGTATCCCATGATTGGTCAGATGGAGTATTAGCCGTGTGGTATAGAGTCCTTGCTGCTCAAATGGATAAGAAAGATAGAAGATGGTTGATATTCGACGGACCAGTCGATGCTATTTGGATAGAGAACATGAACACTGTACTTGATGATAACAAAAAACTCTGTCTTATGAGTGGTGAGATCATTCAGATGTCTGACAACATGAATATGATCTTTGAGCCTATGGATTTGGCTGTCGCTTCCCCTGCTACTGTCTCAAGATGCGGTATGGTTTATATGGAGCCACATCAAATGGGTTGGAGACCACTCTTGAATTCCTGGAAAAACAAACTTCCTACTTGCTTCGGTGAAGAGCACCTTAAAGTTATTCAGGAATTAACAGATGTTATTGTTCAACCATGCTTAGACTTCATCAGACAAGAATGCATTGAGACAACTCCAACTCAAGACTAGAACATTGTTTAGAGTCTGCTTAAAATTTGGAGGTCACTTTTGACAGTCTTTGACAATGAGCACTTCATAACAACACTTGACAAGAAAGCAGTCCACACTGTAATTGAGTCATGCTTCATCTTCTCATCAGTCTGGTCAGTGTGCTGCACAATCAATACTGAGTACAGAAGACCATTCGACTAGCAATTTAAAAAGATATGCAATGGAGAGCTTGAAGGCGGCAAGAAACTTCAGAAGAAGATACTACCAACCTCCTTCGATAGAGGTACCATCTACGACTATGTCTACTTCCCAGAGAAGAATGAGTGGAAACACTGGATGGATCTAGTGAACAAGGAGTAGCTGGACAACTTCCCTAAGAACACCTAAGTTCAAGATATCATAGTCACAACTATCGATACTGTAAGATACAGCTACTTGCAAGAGCATTTTATCAAGCACGAAATACTATCTCTGTTTGTGGGTCCCACTGGTACTGGTAAGTCAGCTTATATCATGAACGTGCTACTCAATAACCTGAACAAAGAGAAATTCATGACAATTGAAGTCGGATTCTCAGCTCAGACTCATGCTAATTAAGTCTAAGATATTATTGATAACAAACTTGATAAGAGAAGAAAAGATTACTTTGGACCAAAATTCGGAATGAGATGCATCATCTTCGTTGATGATCTAAATATGCCCAAGAAAGAATCATATGGAGCTCAACCCCCAGTAGAAATCTTAAGACAGCTAGTCGACCAAGGTGGTTGGTATGAGAGAAGAGATAACAAGCATCCCTTCAAGAACATTATTGATACAATGGTTATCACTGCTATGGGTCCACCAGGTGGTGGTAAGACCTTCATCACTCCCCGTTTCCAGAGACATTTCAACATTGTAGCCTTTGCTATTTTCGATGAGAACACTATGAACAACATCTTCAGAACTATTCTCAAGTGGTATTTCAGAACTGGAAACTTCAATGCAGATGTGTAAGGCATGGACGCCAAGATAGTTTCAGGTACAATGAAGATCTATCAGAAGATTTAAGAGGAGTTGAAGCCTACCCCAATGAAGAGTCACTACACATTCAACTTAAGAGACTTCTCCAAAGTCATTTGCGGTATTTGTATGGCTGGCAGAAATTAAATTCCCAACACTGATGTTTGCCTCAGACTATGGGCTCATGAGATCTTCAGAGTATTTGGTGACAGACTGATTAACAATGAGGACAGACTCTGGATGCTACAAACTGTTAAGGACACCTGCAGAGCTCCATTCGCTGCCAACTTTGATATAATTTTCCAACATTTGGACACTGATAAGAATGGCAAAGTCGAAACTCTTGATGAGATCAGAGGTTTAATCTTCGGTGATGTGCTTACGCCATTCGGTATGTCTGACAGACCTTATGAAGAGATTATGGACAAAGAAAAGCTGTATGCTTGCTGTGAGGAAGCTCTTTCTCAATACAATATGATGTCTGAAAAGCCGATGGAGCTAGTGCTTTTCTCATTCGCCTTGGAGCATTTGCTTAGAATTAGTAGAATCTTAAAGTAACCAGGTGGTCATGCTTTGCTTGTTGGAGTCGGTGGTTCAGGTAGATAATCTCTTACCAGACTCGCCTCTAAGATGGCAGACTTCGAAGTTTATCAAGTAGAAATCAAGAAGAACTACAGAATGCAAGAATGGAGAGATGACATGAAGAACTTACTAAGAATGTGCGGTGGTAAAGGAAACACCACTAGTTTCATTTTCACTGATGTCTAGATCAAAGAAGAAGGTTTCCTCGAGGATGTGAACAACATTTTGAACACAGGCGAAATCCCCAATTTGTTCCCATCTGATGAAAAGGCAGATATCTGCGAGTTAGTAAGACCAGCAGCCAAAGCTGAGAACAGAGCTCCTGAAGGCACTCCAGCTCAACTATTCTCATTCTTCGTAGAGCGATGCAGAAAGAAGCTACACATTGTTTTGTGTTTCTCGCCAATTGGAGAGTCTTTCAGAAACAGAGTCAGAAACTTCCCCTCACTGGTCAATTGCACAACCATCGATTGGTTCTCTGAGTGGCCCAAGGATGCACTCGAGAACGTCGCCAAGAGATTCCTAGGAGAAATCGAGATGGAGTCAGCTGTAAGACTAGAATGCGTGCAATTGGTGCAGCACTTCCACGAGTCCACTGCTAGAGCTGCTGACAGGTTCAAAGCTGAGCTCAGAAGATACTATTATGTGACACCTACTTCTTATTTGGAATTGATCACAACATTCAAAACTATCCTCAAGGAAAAGAGAGAAGAGATCATGGCTTTGAAGAACAGATATGAACACGGTTACAACTGTCTTATCTCAACTGAAGCTAATGTATCAAAGATGCAGAAAGAACTTGAAGATCTATAACCTAAACTTATTGAAGCTTCAAAAGAAACTGATATTAAGGAGAAGAAGGTCGAGGCTGAGACCATAGGTGCTGAAAAGATTAGAGAAGTCGTAGCAGGTGAAGAAGCTATAGCATCTGCTTCAGCTGCTGAGGCCACAGCTATTAAAGAGGATTGCGAGAAAGAGCTCTCAGAAGCCTTACCTATTCTAAAGGCTGCAGAAAAAGCATTGCAATGTATCACTAAGAATGATATTACTTTCCTTAAGAAATTGCCACAGCCACCCGAAGATGCTAAGATGGTGCTAGCAGCTGTGTGTGTCCTATTCGGAAGACCACCAGAATCCAAGATGGATCCAAACACCTAGAAGAAAGTGTTTGACTATTGGCCAGTTGCAGTCAAAATGATGAACTAAGATAACTTCCTCAGACAACTTCAGGAGTATGATAAGGAGAACATCGAAGAAGACAGAGTTAAGAAGTTGCAAGAATTCCTCAAGAATCCCAAGTTCGAGATTAATCACTTGAATACTATCTCAGTCGTAGCAGCTAACTTGGCATCTTGGGTCATTGCTATGGACAAGTTCTACAATGTCAACTTGATCGTGCTGCCCAAGAAAAAGAAGCTCGCTGAAGCCCAAGCTGAATATGAAGAGGTGGCAGGCAAACTCAGAATTAAACAAGAAGAGTTGAGAATTGTGCAAGAGAAGGTAGATGCGCTCAAAGCAGATCTCAAGGCAACAAAGGATTACAAACAGTAACTTGAGAGAGATGTCGCTGATTGCGAAGCCAAGCTTGACAGAGCTACCAAGCTTATCGGTGGTCTAGGAGGTGAAAAGGCTAGATGGAATGAACAATCCATTATTCTGGGAGGAGTCTACAAGAATCTGACTGGTGATGTACTGGTTGCCTCTGGAATGATTGCCTATCTCGGAGCATTCACTTCAGTCTTCAGAGATCATTTGAGTTCTGAGTGGGTCAAGCAGTGCGTTGACAGAAAGATTCCAAACGCTGGCTCATTCTCACTTCAGACTATTCTTGGTAATCCAGTACTAATTAGAGAGTGGACTTTATGCGGACTGCCATCAGATTCCTTCTCAGTAGAGAACGCCATCATTACTCAGAAAGCTAGAAGATGGCCACTATTTATTGATCCTCAAGGATAAGCCAATAAGTGGATCAGAAATATGGAGAAGAAGAGGGAAATGAAGATTATGAAGTTCTCAGACGGTAATTACCTCAAGATACTCGAGAACTGTATCAGAGTAGGATATCCAGTGCTTATGGAAAATGTATATGAAGAACTCGACCCAGCAATTGAGCCACTACTTTAAAAGCAAATCTTCAAGAAGGGTAATTCACTCAACATCAGACTAGGAGATACTACTATTGAGTATTCAAAGGACTTCAAGTTCTATATGACAACCAAACTTAGAAACCCACATTACTTGCCAGAAGTCTCAACTAAGGTCACATTATTGAACTTTATGATTACCTATGAAGGTCTTTCTGATTAACTTCTCGGTATCGTCGTCGAGAAGGAAAATTCTGAACTCCAAGTAAAGAAAGAATAACTTGTGGTAGAGGGAGCAGCAAACAAGAACAAACTTGAAGAAATTGAAGATCAAATTCTTAAGACCCTTTCAGGAACCACAGATATCCTCGGAGATTCAAAGGCCATTGAGATCCTCTCAAATGCTAAGATCTTGGCCAATGATATCGCTAAGAAGCAAGAAATTGCAGAAAAGACTGAGAAAGAGATCGATGAGATGCGTATGGGCTACAGACCTGTTGCTGAGAGAACTGCAGGTTTATTCTTCTGTATCACTGACTTAGCCAACATTGATCCTATGTATCAGTACTCACTCGGATTTTTCATTCAGCTATTTACTTAAGCCATTGCTAACTCAAAGCCTAGCGATGATTTACAAGAAAGACTCGGATACTTGAACGAAGAGTTCCTGATTTCACTCTATCGTAACATTTGTAGATCTCTCTTCGAAAAAGACAAAATTATCTTCTCATTCTTGCTAACTTGCAAATTGAATGAAATGAGAAACGAATTAGACCCCGATGAATTCAGATTCTTCCTCACTGGAGGTATCTAGATTGGTTCAGAGCTCCCTCCTTGCCCTGCAGAATGGATGTCAGAGAAGTCTTGGGGAGAAATCATTAGAATGAGCGACTTGAAGCACTTCAAGGGTTTCCTAGAGCATTTCAAGGCCAAGCATACTATCTACAAACAGATGTATGACAGCTCCTCACCACAAGAATTCAAGTTCACAGATGACTACACTCAAAAGTTAAATTCATTCCAGAGAATGATTATGCTTAGATGTATCAGACCTGATAAGGTTATCCCATCTATATTCAACTACATTGTAGAGCAACTCGGAGAGAACTTTATCACTCCACCTTAATTCGATCTCAATGTAGTCTACAAGGACTCACAGAGCACCACACCATTGATCTTCGTGTTGTCTCCAGGAGCTGATCCACTTAATAATCTCGTCAAGTTCGGTGAGATCAAGAAGAAGCATATAGATTCTGTCTCACTAGGACAGGGTCAAGGACCAAAGGCTGAGAGATTCATCCAAGAAGCCGTTCAAAAGGGATCTTGGGTCGTACTACAAAACTGTCACTTGGCAGTAAGTTGGATGGGCAGACTTGAAAAGATTTGCGAAGAGCTCTCACCAGATCATAAAATAACAAACAGAGACTTCAGACTTTGGCTTACTTCATATCCCTCCAAGGACTTCCCAGTTTCTATTCTTCAAAATGGACTTAAAATGACTAATGAACCTCCTAAGGGTCTTAGATCAAACCTTGTTGGTTCTTATAACACAGATCCCATCTCAAATCAAAAGGAATTCTTTGAAAACTGTGTCAAGCCTAGAGAATTCAGAAAATTGGTATTTGGATTGTGCTTCTTCCATGCAGTCATTTAAGAAAGAAGAAAGTTCGGTCCCCTTGGTTGGAACATTCCTTATGAATTCAATGAATCAGATCTCAGAATCTCAGTCAGACAACTCAGAATCTTCATCAACCAATATCCGGAAAAAGCACCACTAGATGCCTTGAAATATTTGACTGGAGAGTGTAACTATGGAGGTAGAGTTACAGATGATAAAGATCGAAGACTAATGATGACTATTCTCGAAGACTACTACACAGAGAAGATCTTCGACGACAACTATAAAGTATCACCCTCAGGTCTCTATTTCGCTCCTCCATTCACAGAGTACGATAACTACATCGAGTACATCAGGTCACTCCCTCAGTACCCCGAACCAGAGGTATTCGGACTACATGCTAATGCAGACATCACTAAAGATAGAAATGAAACAAACACAGCATTTGGCGCTGTTCTTAGTACTCAATAGAACTCCTCAGGAGGTGGCGGAGGAAGCTCAGATGATATGCTAGCTGCTCTTGCTGACTCAATTCTACATGATATTCCAGAGGCATTTGACATAAAAGCTGCTGAAAAGAAGTATCCAGTATCTTATGAGCAAAGTATGAACACTGTGCTAACTCAGGAATTAATTCGTTTCAACGGTCTTATTAACACTGTGAGGACTTCACTTAAGGATCTTAAGAAGGCTATCAAGGGAGAAATCTTGCTTTCAGCCTAACTTGAAGAGGCCCTTAAATCACTGTTCGATGGTAAAGTTCCACAACTATGGAAAGGCAGAAGTTATCCATCCTTGAAACCACTCGGAAGTTATGTAGTAGATCTTAGATAGAGACTTGAATTCTTCCAGAACTGGATCAACCATGGCATCCCACCCTTCTACTGGATCAATAAGTTCTATTTCACTCAAGGTTTCCTGACAGGTGCTCTGCAGAACTATGCCAGAAAGTATCAGATTCCCATCGATCAACTTGTGTTTGACTACGAGATCATTCAAGACGAGAACCCACCCCCTCCAGATGATGGTATTAATGTGTGCGGTATGTACATTGAGGGTTGCAAGTGGAACTATCAGACTAGACTGCTTGATGAAAGCGACCTCAAGATCCTTTTCGTTAAATGCCCAATGATTTGGTTCAAACCATGCTTGAACAATGAGGTGAAGAACTACCCTAACTACAACTGTCCAGTTTACAAGACTTCAGAGCGTCGTGGTACTCTGTCAACCACCGGTCACTCTACAAACTTCGTGACATTCATTCGCTTACCCTCAGACAAGCCTCAAAGTCACTGGATCAAGAGAGGAGTTGCCATGCTCTGTTCACTCGATGATTGAGCGTTGACAACTACAACTAAATTTATCAGGATTAGACTCATAGTCCTTATAACTCAACCTTATTAACAAATACTCGCTCATGAAAGTAATATGAGGAGTCAGATTATATAATTTCAGAACTTACTTAAAACTTTGAATATAATTCTAATCTTGATTTCATCAATCTAATCGCGATTCATCTCTATGGGGTTTTGGGGTTTTGGGGTTTTGGGGAGATCGGAAGAGCACACGTCTG